AATGGAAAAGACTGACCATACCAAGTGTTGTTGCAGGTGTGGAGAAACCGGAACTCTCACATGCTGCCGTTGGGAGCGTGAAGTGTTACAACCAGTGCACACCTATAGAAAGGCTAAAATAAAAAATAGTGGTGGGGCGCCTGGGTGGCTCAGTCGGTTAAGCATCTGCCTTCAGCTCAGGTCATGATCCTGGAGTCCCAGGATTGAGCCCCGCATCGGGCTCCCAGCTCAGCGGGGGGTCTGTTTCTCCCTCTGATCCTCCCCCCTCTAGTGCTCTCTCTCTCTCTCTCTCAAATAAATAAATAAGATCTTAAAAAAAATAGTGATAACACCAAATGCTGGGAAGGATGCAGAAAAACTGGATCATCCACCCACTGCTACAGAAACGTAAATGGTTTCCAGCCACCCTGAAAAGTAGTTCGGCAGTTTCTGTTAAAAGTGACCAGGCACTTGCCCTGCAACCCAGCAATTGCCCCCTTGGGTATTCATCCTGGAAGAAAATGAAAACTGTTCACGTCAAAGCTGACACGCATGTTCACAGCAGCTGTATCCCTAGTAGCCCCCGGCTGGAAACACCTGAGTGTCTCTCAGTGTGGGACTGCCACGGCCGGGGGAAGTGACAGTAGCCAGCAGCATGCAGGGTAGGACCTCTCTCACAGTCTACACTTGGTGAAACCTGGAACAGAGCGGCTGCGAGAGCACATGACATTTTAGCAGCATCCCTGACTGCCGACCAGAGAACCGAATGAAGAGGGAGGGAGGGAGCAGGGAGACAAGTTGGTAGACAGGGACAGATGTATCTGTGTCCAGATAGTTTTCCACCCCTGGGCTATTCTCTGTGTTATGACAGCATGTCTGACTCGAGCCAAGCCTCCTCCACCGCCCCTTTGTGTTCCGAGGACTGGGATTGTCCTATAGGAGCTCACTGGGTGTGGGAGGAGAGGGCGAGCTTCGGAGGACGAGGTGGGGGCTCCCTGGGTAGGTGAGGAGCCACAGGGACCTGTTGCCCGGGGGCCCCAGTGGGTGTTCCTGAGCTCCCAGGGGCAGCCATGTCCCCAGGTATGCCCCATAGCTGGCATAAGGTACGAACTAGATAAGCAAGGCACCCACGCTGCCCAGAACACCAGCACTTGCCTCTGGGCAATTTCCGTGTCCATCCTTAGGTGGTCACATGAGCCACAAAGGAGGGGCAAGAGTGATGGTAGCCACCTCTGCAGCCAAGTAGAGCCAAGGCTCTGAGGAGGGGGCTAGAAGGAGACAAAATGAATCGGAAAACTCGGTACCCCAGAGGAAAGCACGGGACCTGAGACTGAGGCCTTGCTCAAGGGCACCCTGGGCTCCTCTTCTCTTTTCTCAAGCAGCCTGTATGCTGCGTTGCTTGTAAAATTTAGAATTATTAATTAAAATTGGAGGAACAAGAAAAACGACATCCCAGGAACTTGTCACTGTTTACTCAGCATCTATCCACCAGTGACAGGGCCATGGACTATGACCTGGAGCCTCAGGAGCTCTGGGTCTAGAAATGGTGGGAGCTGAGAAAAGTACCACCTCCTCCAGGAAGCCTTCCTGACTACTCCAGCCGTGATTCCTTCTGTGCTTCTAGTCTGACCTGTGTGTTGAAGGCCAGGTCGTGCTCTGTTCAAGGCTCTGCTCTGACAATTCCTCTGTGCATTTCTGTTCTTCTGCCCAGCTAGGTGGCTCCAAGCTTTCCTAAGCCCGGGGTTCAGGGTTCTATTGGGTTGAATTGAATGGCATCACTCTGTGATTGATCAGATCTCAGGAAAAAAAATCACCTACTTTAGAGCAGCCTTCCCTAGCATTCTGACCCTCTTTGCACACATGAGGTCAAGGGCGCTCAGAGAGGTTACTTCCTTGCTCCAGGTCACACAGCATGTCTGTGTCTTTAGCTAACTGATGAGGTGTGACTGGGGTGGAAAGGCAGGTGAAGCAGTATCTATGCAGAGGCAGAAAGCTCAGCTCTAAAGGCCCTGCCCTCTCAGCCATGGGGCAGGCGGGATAGGGGCCACCTCAGAATCCGAGAAGTGAGCTAGGAAAATTGTTCCTGTGGGTATGTATAATTAGAAGTTTCTATGAGGCCTCAGTCCAGACTAGAACTCATGAGCCATACGCAGCATGGTCCACCCACCTCTGCCCACCTACTTGGGTTATTCTGCTCCGATTGGGTAGAGCTGGCGGGAAGTTAGCAAAGCCTTGGCCTCCGCCTTAAAAGCACCCCCTGCATGATGCTGGTTTACCTCCCCCACCCCACCCCCCGGTGCTGCACGGGAGGCGAGTGGGAGCCATATTCCACGGGGACCAATCAAAGGACTCCAGACAGGCTGTTTTGTCCAGAGAAGTGTGTGCTGGGGGGGCACGGTGAGCAACAGTGTCACTGTCTCCGTGACCGGCAGGTTCTGGGGCTGAGCAGAATAGAGGCCAGAGACAAAGTGGAGTCACAGAGGGTAGGTAAGTTTCAGCTTTCCAGTGAGTTCTCTTCCTGCCCCTTGGGCATCCCTCCTTCCCGGTCCCCATGCTGAACGGGCTCTGTCTTTTGCCTTCTCTGTATCCACCTTCAGTGATCCCAGCCAGTCCCAGGGCTCCACACACCATGCTTGCTCAGCGTGTCAGAAAGCCTGCTGTGCCTTGTGCTGTAATGACTGTCAAGGCCAGGCGGCTGGATTCGGCTGCTAACAAACACATGGAATTCCTTGTTAGATGCCGATAGCGAAGGAGAGCCGAGCCAGACCCCAGGTCCCTGCATTCCACATCCCGCAGGCTGACCCTGAAACAGAAGGGGTAGGCGACTGTCGACTGTCGCAGGAGTAGTGAGACACCCTGGGCCGAGCTTTCCTGCTATAGCTGCACCCCCGGGAGGGGAGGAAGGTAATGCAGGAAGCCTCAAACCTCATCAGAACCCGGGGATGGGAGCCACGCAGCCTCGTGGCGGCAACTCCCACACCTCCTATGCTCGCCTCTCCTGGGCGGACCACAGGGCGTTCGGCCAAGACCCAGAGCAGCCGTGGGGAAGCCTTGCCTCCGAGGCCTATGTAACTATGTGCAGGGGCTTCTGGGCACAGGCTGGGAGCTGTTCCCGTCCAGGGACAGCCAACCCTGAAGTCTCAGGGGTCTGCAACACAAGGTCTCGTTCCTGGGTGCGGCACCCACAGCGCTGAGGCTGTGCTCCACGCTCGGGCCTTCTTCCCCCCTGCCCCCGGTGGGCAGGGCAGCCACTGGGCGGTAGGCTCCCTCGCTAGAGGGGAACCACCCGATGGCTCTTGAGCCGCCGCTCAGAAGTGGTCGCAGCAGGCCCGCAGTGGGGCCTGAGCCGGTGGAGAAGGCAAGTACAACCTTTTCAAAGTGTGGGGGGCGGGCAGTGGGTAATTGAGCCAACAATGTAATCTGACTCCTCTGATACCTCCAGTCCTGATGTGGGACTGATGCTGAGCTCCCCCCAGAAGTTCCAGACCTGAGCAAACCACTGTCTCTGGCTCAGCTCCACCTGCTACATCAGAGGTAACTTACAAGTGATCCCCAAAATCCTGATTCCCTCCAACCCAACCTGCTTGTCCCCCATTTTGGTTGAGGGCACCACCAGGTACTCAGCGGTCCCGGCCCCAGACCCAGAAGTCACACATAGTTTCTTTTATGTTGTATGTGAATCTCATCTCAATTAAAAATAAAATAAATACAGGCATGTTATAAAGCAGAATGCAAACTTGCATGAATTTCCAACAACAGCAGACTTCCAGGGAGCTTTGCCTCCCCTCTGCTGCTGCTGAGGATTCTCCGAGAGAAGCTCTGGAGGGACTGTCCTAACTGAGGCAGGGCTGGGGAGGATGCACAAGATGGGGGAAGCGGGAATTTCAGTGGCTGCCCAGGCCAGCGTCCTGTGTTCTGGAAGACAGCCTTGAGGGACTGGGAGCTGGTCCAAGGCACACCCAGGCTGGGTGCCCTCTTGAGAGCAGCACCATCACTCCCTCCCATCCCCTCTGCCCGGGGACGGGGCTCCTCTCAGCTCCTGGGACCCTCAGCTGCTCTGGCTTCTCCTGACCCCTCCCTGCCTTTAGGTTTCTTCCCACAGCTTCTGCCTCCAGCCTCCTCAGCTTTGGAACCCTCTAGCAGATCTGTGCCTGTCTCAGCATCTGTGCCCCCAGAGGACGATCCGGGGCCCTCAGAGCACCCCATCCGACCACAGCTGATGAAGGCCAGTGGGGAACATGCTGCCACTCAGGAAGGAGGTCTTCCTCACAGCTGGTGGGTAGCGTTCCTGCTTTATAACCCCAGTCCTGCTCTGACAAATTTCTCCTTTTGGTGATGGGAAGTGGGACTGTGACTCGTTTTGCACATTCCCCCAAAGGGAAGTGGTCTTGCTACCTGGCTCAGAAGACAGAAGTGAGTCATCTGAGCCGAGAAGCAGGACTGGGAGAGTCCCTTCGCCCCCCCAAGTGGACTTGGTGCCCCTCTTCCGGGTCCCGAAGCCTCTTCTGCCCACCCACCATGGGGCCTTCAGGGATGGCTGAGAAGGAGCCTTGAAATCAGCCATTTACATCAGCCCATTTTTCGGATGAGGAAGCTGAGTCCCAGAGGGAAGGAGATGGCTGCTAGGGGTGACAGGAGCCGCCAAAAGCTGCCCCCGGGGGTCCAGTTGGCTCCCAAAACCTCATAGCCAGCGAACCCCAAATACCATCTAATGACTGCATGCACAGCCCGTCTCTCAGGACCCCCCCAGCTCATGAGAGGTGATCAGGGTGGGACTGGTTCCCCCATCTTCCAGATGTTCTGACAGCCCCGGTTTTCCTAAGCCTCACCACTTCTTCTCTGACTGAAAATTAGCCCCCTGCCCCACCCTCTAGAGAAACAATCCAACCCCTCCATATGACATCGACTCATTCGCTCGTTCATCCACCGTCTCACTTGTTCATTCGGTACATCTCTACTGAACTCAGAATCTTGGGAAGATTTTATTAAAAGTGTTCCTGCAAGTTGGACCAACAATGCCCTGTGCCTCCGCGGGTGGGGTCAGGGCATGAGCACCTGCTGCGCGCAGACCCCTGGGCGAGGCCAGGCGGGGAGATGCGGCCGCCCAGGGGCGGTGCCCAGGTTCAGTCCTGGAGCTTGCTGGTGTACGCCTCAGCCCTGTCCAGCGGCGGCCCCCGGTTCACAGACGTGTACGCAGCCTCCGAGGTCCCCAGGGACCTGGGGATGGCCTCCTGCGTGATCTGGGAGTCGTGTGTCGTTTCCCTGTCCGAGCTGCCCGTGTCCCTGACCGAGGGGATGGAGAAGGTGAGGGTGAGGGGCACAGAACAAGCCTAAACCTCTCTAGCTGGTCAGGAACTTTCTACTTAGACACTGCTTTCACAGATGTTGTCTTATGCACGCACAGCAAAGAATGACCGGACAGAATGGGCAAGTCTAGGTGGGAGGCACGGGAAGGCTTCCCGGAGGAGCGAACAGTGACTATGCCCTGAAGGAGGAGCGTGGGGGCTGAGGAAGGCATTCCAGGCATGTGATAGGAAGCGCTGGGAGTCCTGGGGCAACACTGGGAAGTTTGGTGGAGCTGGAGCTGGGGTGGGGACGGAGGGGGGTAAATGGAAGAGTCAGGCCAAAGTCGGATAACAGGACCTTTGGTGCCAGAAGAACGTGTTGTCCAAAAGGAGGGAGGGACATAAGCATGTCCTGACGGCTCCCAGGTCTGGCCAGACAGACCAGACTCCTGGTGGCTAATCTTATCTATTATTTGTGTTTTTATTACTTAAATGTCAGAGGGCAACGTGATTTGCAAGTTCACTGCCCCCTACTCCATCCCCCACCCACATGGCTTTTTCCACATGGCTAATTCCTGTGTCCACTCACTCTCACCTACTCCAAGAAGCTTTCCCGTCTCCTCCCCCCATCCACACTGGGACAGGCACCCCACCATCTTCAAAGCCTCCCGGGGGCTCCCTCCCTCTCGCTGAGACGCACGTGGCTCCTCCCTGTCCTGAGGAGACTTTGCTCCTGTTGTTCCTTCCTCCAGGAAGCCCACCCTGGTGCTCCAGGCAGGATCTTCCTCACCCTCCTCCGGATTCCCACAGCACCTGCTGGTGCCTTGATTCACCCCCTGTGCCAGCCTCCCAGGATGAGTGGATTGTGTGCACACCTGACATCCGCTCCAGACACCCACAGGAGACCTGACCCGACGTCAGAGCTATTGGTAGCGTCAGGAGACCAGGGCTCTGGCCCCGGCTCTGTTTTAACTGGCTGTGCGACCTTGGGCCACCCTTAACCCCTCTGGCCTCAGTTTCCCCACCTGTCCAGCCAGTGGGTGAATTATGACAACAGAAGCTAATAGCTGTTGAGTATCCAGGTGCTGCCCTAAGAACTCTCTAAGGATTATGTCACTTAACCGTCATGACTCCACATGGAGGATAAGATTTATTAACATCCCCATTTCCCAGATGAGGAAGTTGAGGCATAGAAGGAGAGGTGTCGGAGCTGAGACCCTCCCACCCAGCCCCGCTGCTGAGCCCCTCCCTACCCAGCTGAACGACCCCAGGACACTGCTCCCCTCTCACCAGACCCAACCCCACCCAGGGTGGAAGGCAGCTCCCTTGCCTTCTGGGCTCGCCCCTGCCTCGGGAGACCCTCTGAGTGGAGTGTGCCCAGGGTGCCTCCGAGTCTTGCCCTCCAGATGGCGGATACTCACAAAAGGCTGAGGACAATGGCGCCAGCAAAGGCGATGAGCAGGAAGAAGGGCAGGGAGCCCAGGATGGATGTGATGACGATCATGCCCCCACTCCGCCGGCCTGGCCACGTGTCGATCTCTGAGGACGGGGTGACTAACAGGACACAGGCCCACTTACTCCCCAGACACTGCACCCCTCAGCCTTCTCCCGGGACACACAGGGGCCCCCCAGCCTGGCAGCCTCAGATTTCAGGATGGAGTGGGGACCCAGGTCAGAGTCTGTCTCCCCCCAGGTCCGGGGAGCAATTAACTTGCTTGCCCCACCCCTGCTTCCCAACTCCCTCGTGCGTCTCGTCTCTTCCTCTTTTAACTGTCTTTCTGCATAATTTTAAATTCTAAATGAACTCAACCCCTCTGGCGAAATGGATGGGACACGGATTATAAACAATTAAAGATGCGACAAAGGGCCTGGGTCTGAGGGAGCTGGATGCCCCAAGGGTCCCCCTCTGCTCTGGTCCGCGTCGCCCTTCCGGAACTAAGTGAACAATTTATAGGTCCTCCTGTGAGCCGGCTGCTTTCTGGCCACTGTCCCATGTAGACCCGACAAGACCCTCGTTCTGGAGATCGCTCACTGCCGCTGCGGGAGGTGGAGTTCCTGTTCAAGGGCACTCAGACTCCAGACTCAAGTCTATAGGCCTGTCTGGTCCCAAAGGGCATTCTCGCCCCACAAACTGACCTCAGGCCCTGCCCCAAAAAGAGCCAGGCCTAGTGCTTTTGTCTGGGTTACTCCAAGGAACCCTGCTGGGGAGGCAGAGCAAAGATTTTTCTTCCCACTTCTCAGACGTGGAGACTGAGGTCCTAAGGGGTTCACGGAGCAGTGAGGTGCAGAGGCCGGGCTTGAACTCAGCACTTTCGGTCCCAGGGTAGCCCTGTTGCAGGGGGATGGCAACACATGGGCATGCCCCTGGAAGGGCAGGCGGGGGGCCACCCCGGCCACACGCGTGTGCACACATGCCTGTCTGTCTATGCCCTTCACTAGCCGTGTGACCTCAAGCAACCTGTCAGAGCTACTGCATGCCCTGTAAGCTTACCATGGGGCGGGGGCGCTCTACAGGTGATATTCTCGGCTCCAGGCTGAGCCCATCATAGCATGAAATCTCACCTTGGGGGCCAAGGTATGGGGGAGGGTGCTCTAAAGTTAGGGTCGGGTGCTGTCAAGATTACCATCTGAAATCTCTTCTGTTGCCCTCAGGTTCTGTAGACACGATTCTGGGTATAAACCTTGGATGGTGTTGAGAACCCAGATGGAGGCTTGAGGAGGGACAGGGCAGGGCCACAGGCAGATGCCTGGGCCTCCGAGCCCCCTACCTTTAGGAAACCCACCCAGCCTCCAGAGAACGGGGTGGAGAGGTGGGCAGCACTCTCGCTCCCTCCCAGGCTCACCCCCTGCCCCGGGTCCTAGCCTCCGGAGCCATCCAGAACCATCAGGATCCATCTCACGTGGCTGTGAGGTCTCAACGAAGGGGTGGGTGAGGATGGAAAGACAGGGTAAACTCCATGCCCCTTGGAGGCAAATGCCTTGACTTCAGTCATGCCAGCCTATCCTTCACCTGCCTCTGCCACAACACCTGGCCCTCAGGGAACGGGGGGGGGTGGGGGGCGGATGTCAGGTCAAACCATTTCAAGATGCATTTTCCTCCTCAACCCGACAGCCTGCCTGGGTCTGGGGAGACCTTTCTGAGTGACAGCCTGAGTGTGTTTTCCCACGTTCCCCTGAGGGTCGCCCCCCAGCCCAGCCCCATCACTTACGCCGGTTGGTGCGGATGGGGTCGGACCACAGGGTCTGGTCCTGTACCAAGCCCGTGGACATATTGACAAGGACGTACTTGAACCTGTAGGGAGACGGAGAGAGGGGGACTTCTGTCCATCCTGTGTGCCCGGCCACAGGCAGGTGGAGGGATTAGAATGGTGGGTGTCGGGGGGCAGAGGGGGTCCATCTTGGAGACGGAAGTTTAGACGGCCACAGGGTGGGCTCTGGGCAACAGGACAGTGCTGGACTTGGCCTTGGCGCCGTCCCCCCCTTTCCCGCCCCTGGACCCTTTCCATGAAGACTTCAGGGTCAGTGGTCTTCCTCTCAGCTCTGCCTCTGGGGCCCCCGTTTCTCTATTATCCACAGGATGAGTGTAGCATATTTGCTGAATAGCGACCAATTTACCCTCTCAGCATCCCTGCCTTCCACCATTCCCAGCCCGCTCCTTGGTATCACAAAAGGGACTTTAAAAAAAAAAAAAAAGTAATAATATTCATTCCCAACCCAACTGCCCTGGGACAGGGCTGCCCTTTTTCTGTAGAAAGCCCCAGCTGAGTGTCACTAATCATAAAGGAAGATCACCAGAAGATTCCCAGAGCCCACCTGGGGCCTCAGATACGGTCAGTTTAAAGTGATGGCTACTCTGAGAACTCAAAAACCAACAGCCTCTCATTTAACACTTAAAAAAAAATGAAGACCCTTAAAATCTCTACAGCCTCCAGTGTTTTGCCTAATCTCCTATTTCTCTGACTTTGAAGAGGAGAATTCCAGAAGCTGGGATATGTGCTTTTGTGTCCCCCAGGTAGGAGGTTTGAGGAGGTAGGGGGAGGTTTTCCCACATTGAGAACAAGGTCAGAGGTAAGAGGTTGAGGGTGGGGACCAGACACTAAGGCTTTCATCCTGCCCTGTGGCCAAGGCCAAAGGAGAGGCAAAAGCCCTCCGACAGGACGGCGGGGGAGCGATGGTCTGGGCCCCCGGTGTGTCTAGCAGGTGCAGAGACTCGGCCTTAGGAGTTTCCACAGTAACGGGAGTGGGTGTACCCAAGGCTTTGGCACCAGGCGAGACCCCATGGCCACGGATCAGGCCTGAGCCCCGAGCTCTGCACGGAGAAGAAATAAGTGTGGAAAGGAATCAGGGACCCGCTGGGGCCAGGAGAGGGGGCACAAAAGGATATGGCAGAAGGAGGCAGGAAAAAGCAGAAGATGAGGTGGGAGCTGGAAAAGCCTTCAGCGCGGCTCTAGCTCGGGTGGGGCCGCTGCTTTTCAAGCGGTGACCCCCCCCCCCCGGCTCCCTCTCCAGACCAGCTAGTTTCCTCCCCTGGCAAATGAAGCAGATTGGGTAAGTGACTGCCACGCGGGTGATGAGCCGGGATCAGGCACAGAATCTGTGGAGCCCGGGGCAAAATGAAAATGCAGGTCCCCTGTTAAAAAACAATGAAGAGTTTCAAGATGACAGCAGCAGAGGATTAAGCCAAGCAGGCGTCCTTCTGAGTGCATGGGCCCTGGCCCGGTCGCACAGCCCAAAGTACGCCCCTTCGGGAGACCCGGGACAGTCCTGGCACAAGAAATGTGGCCTCGCACACCTCACCCCTCCTGGGTCTCCCTGAGTGGGGATGGGAGCATAACTGCCCCGCCCCTGCAGCCGCTCACACCCACCTGTATTCCGTGGCTGCCGACAGGGGCGGGTTGCAGAGGCCCCGGAAGTTGGGGTCTGACAGGCAGGTTCCGTTGGCACCCACCCTGACGAGGTATGCGTTCAGGATTTCCGAGGCCCGGGCCACGTCCGCTAGGGCATCCAAGCTGGGCAGGTCGCTGCAGGGGGCCAGGTCAAAGGCCGCGGCCTTGTAGGGGCCCGTCCTCCCTCCCTCTGTCTGCTGGAACGTCGAGCTCAGCGGGGTCCTGCTATGGTCCTGCACGGAGGCGTTCCTGGAGCTGGCTGCAGAGACAGCGTCAGCAGTGAGGCCCCTGGCCACCCCGGCTCAGCCGGTCACCCAATACCCCCAAACATCCTCTCTGAGCTAGTGCTGTGCTGGGCCCTGGGCTCCCAGTCGGAGGCAGGGTCAGGCCCCGCTCAGGGGCTCCCTAGGCACTGGAGGCAGATAGACAGGAGCACCGCCGACTTCGGGCAGGAGGAAGGTTCCTCTTTCTACAGGCCAGTGAGATCTTAACGGGTCCTCCCACCCCTACAGACTTCCGTCATTTTCCCCCTGAGAGGCTGCCCCCCCCCCCCCCCTCCCCCCGCCGGGCCAGTGAAATGGGAGAGAAGCAGCCGGCGGTGTGCACAGAATGGGCCCCGGGCCCAGGTGATGGCTCTGAATGAGCTGCTGTAAATGACCGGCTGCCAGAAATGTAGAGGCTGTCACTGGGTTCCTTCTCCCAGAAGCCCAGGATTGCTCCGGGGAACAGGCGGGGCTGGCCCAGAGCACATGGGTCCAAGTGCATGGTTCCCCTCGCCAACACCAACTGTGACCCACCTGCAGAAGCCAGGGAAAGGGCTGGGGCTTGAGGCACCACAGAGATCTGAGCTCACTTTCCAGCCTGGGAGCTCCCGTGAGTTATCCCACCTCTATGAGCCTTGATTCCTTGCTCTGTGATGGGACAGTGGCCTTGCAGGCTGGTTGTAAACATTAGCACCAAGGTACGCGAAGCACCGAGCATGATGTATGTGCTCAGTGATGTGTACTGTCTTTATTTCTCCACTAGCCTGCACATCTCTCCAGGGCAAAGACGTGTGTGGGTGGCCGCACCATGCAGTCCAGGGCTGGCCCAGGGCAGGCCCAGGTGCCTGTCAGTGAGGTACCTGGGTGGGGGGTGTTGAATGATAGAGCTAGAGCATCCCACTACCAGCCTCCTTTCCTCCTCCCTGCAGAAAGACCAAAGCCCCTTTCAGCTCAGCCGAAGGGAAGCAGAACCCTTACCTAGGTCGACGAGGACATAGAGGTAGATCTCATAGTTGTTGCCAAGGGCCGCTGAGCTGTCAAACATGCAGAGAGGCTTTTCCAAGGCCACAGTGGTGAGGGTGGGGTTGTTGGTGGCGAAGGTCATGCTGGCCAGTTGGGGCTGGAGGTGCACACCTAGAAGAGGCAGTGAGGACAGGAGCTGACCCCCAGTAGAACTGTCCACACCCATGGGCACACTCTGTGCCCCCCCATGTCTGCATTCAGTTACTGGGCACCTAGGGTGTGCCAGGCACTGGGGTTCACCCTCCCCATGGGCCGTCTCAGGAATTTGTCTCAGACCCAGGCAGCTCTCCTGCCCCCACCAGCCATCCCCCGCCCCAGAAAACAAGCAGTCCAGCCTAACTGCTGCCCTCTCTCCCCACCCACAGATGGTCAGCTGCCAAGAACCCCACTGCCTCTCCTAAGCATCTCTTCACCCAGTCAGCGCGGTCTTGGAGTCCCACTCTCTTTCCTTGGACCCCAGAAATAAGCCTCCCCCCAAGTCCTTTGCTCTCTAACATGCAAATCTGACCCTGTCACTCTTCTGCTGGACCCCTTCTGTGGCTCCCCACTGCGTTGGAGGGGCCTCCCACATGGTCCAGCCTCTCTGGAGGGGCACCAAAGTCCCAAAGCTCTGGGCTTTGCTTCCTTGGGTCTCCAGCCTCACCCCAAGCACGCCCCCCACCTCACCCCACCCCATCCTACGCTCCAGCCTCGCTGATGGACCGGTCAAGAGAATCCCACGGTGGACCATGCCGCCTCCCTCCTTGAACTTGCCCTCGCTGCCTCTTCCCCTGAAATGTCCCTCCATCTCCTCCAGTCCCGTCATCTGCAGGGTCTAGTCCAGCCTGTTCTCTGCTCTCCCACAGCCCCCTGCGTGTCTGTCTCTCACAGCACCCATAACAGGGACCTGTGACCCATGAGCCCTGGGACCGCCACCCAAGGAAGCTTATTAATCAATGTTGTCTTTATTATTAATATCCCACTCCCCAGAGCCTGCACAGGGCTTGGCACAGAGCAGGCATCCTGCCTATTCCTGGAGCGAATACACGAAGTTCCCCTTCCCAACGCGGCTTTCCATCCCGGCTCCTCTCAGGACGGTGGGAGGATCAGCGCCGAGGACTCAGCTGCCCGCCCTCCCGGGGCACGCCCCCTTCTGCCCTTCCCCGCTTACCCACACCGAGCCGCAGGCAGCCGAGGGCCAGCAGGGCCCAGAGAGGAGGCATCGCCCTGAACAAGCCGCGGGAGCGCGGGCAGGGTGGTGCAGGAGGCCGGGAGCCCAGGGCCTCTCTGGGTCAGCGCACCTGGAGGCCGGGACCCGCCCTCGGCGCGCCCCGCCCCCGCCCGCGCCGGCCAATCCCTGGCCTCCTCGCGGGCTATTTGCATACGCCCTTCCCCGTCTACCCCGCCCCGCTGCGTGCCTGAGGCACACACCTGCCCCGCGGGACCTTCCCGGCCCTTCACCGAAGCGCCTACTGTGTGCAGAGGCCGGGGCGGCGCTTTCACAGCGTCTCTCGCCGTATCATCCTCTCTTTGAGCGGCCCCTTCCACACTGGGAAATGGGGGCGCTAATTCGTACAGCTCTTTATAGAGACCCTGCTAAGTGCCAGGTACTGGCTGGGCTCTGGTGGAGATGGACCAGGTTAATCAGAGAAAGTGCCGTCGTGGAAACCTTGAAGTCCCGGGCCTGTGAGGGATCCGGAGACCCCGCGGTGTGACCCTTGGGGTTCACTGGTGCGAGGCCAGGGCCGCACACGGACTCCCGGACACGCCCAGACGGGAGGAGCCCAGTCCTGCCTCCCAGCCCCTGCTGTTTCAGAAGGCCTGCTGCCCAGGGGAGCGTTTGAGAACAGTGCCGTGGGTTTCACCTGGTCTAGAGGGTTCCTTCCAGCATCAGGAATCGCGCTTTTCTCAAACAGCACCTTAAATATTACATTTTTCATTGAAGACATAAGCCAAGGAGGATAGGAGAAAACTAAAACTGGAAACCAACAGAAAGTGTAGCGTGAACGACATAACCCCGTGCAGAAAAATACCGTGTCTGAGACTCTGGAAGGCTGGTCGGGCAGCACCCCCTTGTAGAGAGCACTGTAAGGGCAAAGAGGACTCTAGCAGAGCCCTGGTCCGCAGGAGCCAGGTGGTGGGGAGGGCAGAGCAGTTCTGTAGCAACTGGGTATAACTGGGGTCAGGACCCAGGCCCTCACCACAGGATGAGGGAGATTTGGAAGGGAGGAAGAAGAAGAACTTCTGGCGTTTTCTATTAGTAGTATTGTTATAACAAAATAACAACTCCTTAGCTCTGTCTGCTCCCCCACTTAGCACTCTGGGTCCTGAAACAGCGGTCCCCAGTAAAAGGCACCAAGGTCCCTTGGAGACCTGGTGACTCTGGGGCTGGGACAGGGAGTATCAAGAGGAGCCTAGACACTAAAGGTTTCGAAGATGATGGGGTTATGTCCAAGGTGCTGGCACAGAAGGGGCTTGAAGGGGCTCCAGCAACCCGTCGATGGAAAGTTTGCACACAAAATAAATAGTAGAAGTAACATATTTAGCCCATTGGATGAAACATGAATCCATGAGTCAATACTGGTACTTTTTAAAAAGAAGTTGTAAAAGAGAACATTTTTCTTCAAAGAAGAACACCAACTAATAAACGTACAAGGAATGACAAAACAAAAATCACCATTCTGCAAACATCTTGGTAATAATGGGTTTCAGGAAAGAATCCTCTCAATCAATGTGAAAACCATAGACGAACGATTTTTAAGGAACAAGAGGTGCAGGAATCTGGGGATGTCAATTTAGTGAAGTAATTGAACCTCACATCACCAAGAATGGGGTGGGTTGACCTCATGTGCTTCCTGGGTCATGCCTCTGAGAAGGGCTCAGGACCATCTCTGTAGTGCTCCCACCCAAAAACTCTAACCTGAATCCAAACAAGAGGAAACAATCGGACAAATCCAAATTGAGGGATTTCCTGCAAGCCAACTGGCCTGGATGCTTTGAAAATGTTCATATCAGCAAAAGCAGAAGCAAATACCAAAGGCTGAGAACCGTTGTAGATTGAAGGAGACATGACAACCCACTGCCCCTTGTGACCCCGGATTAATTCTTAATAAAAACAACCTATGGGGTGCCTGGGTGGCTCAACTGTTTCAGTGGCCGACTCTTGGTTTCGGCTCAGGTCATGATCTCGGGGTCCTGGGATGGAGCCCCATGTCGGGCTCCCCGCTCAGCGGGGAGTCTGCTTCTCCCGCTGTCCCCTCCCAGATATAGGGATATTCATTGTATTGTTCTTGAAATGTGTCTATAGTTTGAATTTTGCCCAAGTAAAAAATGTTTTTAAAAGCCAAACATGCTGCTCCTCTCTCTGGGCCTCAGTTTCCCCTCTGTTACATGGGCGGGGTCCAATCGCCAGACCCCTGACATGCTGAGTGGATGGTCCGATCCTTATCGCCGGGGGACAGAAAGTAACAGAAAGTCTCTGCCCCAGAGATAGGGATCTCCTGGGCAAAGCAGTGGGGCTTCCTCCAAGAATTTTTATGGGCTGACATTTCTCGTCCAGTGATTGTTTGTGAACCTGGACTTGAACAGGGACTGGCCGAGCTGATCACAAAGGCTCAGCCCAGAATCACCCACGAGAGGGAGAAGACCCCAGGCATGTTTGTCTTCTCCCAGACACTGCAGTTTCTCATGAAAAAAAACATAAAAAGTCCTCCAGTCTCTTGTCTTGCCCAAATATGGCGAGAACATCTGGGGAAAAGAGTTACAATAACAATCTGCTAAGGCCCCAAAACATTCTGGGAAAAAAAAAAAAAGTCTTGGATTTATAAACAAGTCTCCACTTCAAAGATGCCGAGTTTTGTTTGGCCAGGTCTGAAGAGGCGTGAGTGTAGGAGAAGGAAGTCACTGTGGCGCATTCATCTAGGAGACACCCAGGCTAGTGTGCGTGGAGGGAAACAGGAGACAGGGGTCCCCGACACCAATCCCCTCCTGCTGCAGCCCAGCGCCCCGGGTGCACATTCCAAAAACATTTTTGCCAAAAAAATATATATTTTTTAAAAAATTGTCCCTTTTTGATCAAGCAAATTCCAGGGCACCGAGCTTCAGTCTGACTTTAGATCTGTTTACATACCTCAGTGCATCAGACCGTCTCTGTGAACCCTGGCCCAGATGACAAGCTTGTCAGGAGGCCACCAAGCAGGAAGTTCTGTGATGTGAAAGGTTATGCAAACCCCAGCCCTGCACAGGCCTCCTTTGAATTTGAAACGTGGGGAGTTTATGGGTTGGAAATTCTTGACCCAGAAATGTTTCTTCCAGGGCCAGAGAGGCCTGAGACGGTTTCCACTACTCTTTTCTTTAGAGGTCGGAGACGGTCACCCCAGCAGGTTCCGGCTTTTAGTGTTTGCTACGTCCCAGAGGTCCTGAAAGCCAAGCTTTCCAAAGCACTCAGACTCAGTCACTTTGACCCTAAACGAAACGCAACGCAAGCAAAGCACCCCAAGCCCCGGGCTTTGGGGGCTCACGGGTCCACCCCCAGCTCCAGGTTGCTCCCAGCAGCCCCCATCTCTCCCCCCGGGCTCCAGACCCCTGTCCTGCAGAGCGTCCCCACCTTGGTGGTCCCGAAGGATCCTGTCCCTTTCCAAAGCCTTAGTTTCTTTTTCAGTAAATCTGGGATATCGAGGTGCCCCCTTGCCAAGCAGAGGCATAAAGTGCAGTCAAGGGGTGAACGTGCTCTGAGACTGGGGCGCTGGGCAGGGCTGGAGGGTAAAGATATCTCTCCCGCTACCCGCCCCCGGGCCGCCACCCTCTGCCCAGCGTGATAGGGCTTGTCCTGCCCTCACCAGGCTGTGCCAGGCCCCCCTTTCTGGCCCCTCTCATGCCGAATCCAACTTTATTCAACAGATATGTCCTAAGTGCCTACTGTGTGCTGGGCACACCAGTCCCCCAGGTGACCCAAACCCGTCTCTTCCTTCCTGGTCCAGCTACGCTGCCTGCATCATATTAGTTTGCTAGGGCTACAGACGTAAATACCACAGGCTGGGGCCCTAAGCCCCAGAGACTTAGTTTCTCAGAGTTCTGGAGGCCGGAACTCTGAGATCAAAGCGTGGGCAGGGCTGGATCCTCCTGGGGCCTCTGTCCTGGGCATGCAGACGGCTGTCCTCTCTCCCCGTCCCCACGTGTGTGTCTGTGTCCTGACCCACTCCTCTTGTAAGGCCCCCAGGCAGACTGGGTTAGGGCTCATCCTAATGACCGTATTTTACCTTAATTGCGTCTTCCAAGTCCCCGTCTCCAAATACAGTCACGTTCTGAGGTCCTGGGGTTGAGGACTTCAGCCTATGGATTTTGGGGGGAGGGGGACACAGTTGACTGGACAGATGGATGCGTCCGGTGACCCCCAGGTAGGAAATAGGGAAGCAGATTTTAAGCTTAGGTCACGGGACCCCATGGGACCCCATAGGGGCCCTGCCTCCTCCTGGGTCCACTCTCTCACCTGTCCCCTCTCCGGGGCCTCTCCACCCAGAAGTCACGGAGACATTTCTAAAGTATAAATCTGGCTGTCACCTCCCTCGTGCAAAACCCCTCGGGGGCCCTGACTGTCCTCAGGACACAACCACGCTTCTGGCCCTAGCGTCCAAGGCCCTGCGTGGCCACTCATCTCCAGCCAACCTGTCTGCCTCCCCTCTTGCCCCCCATGCCTGGCACCAGCCCCTTTGGACACTGGTGTGTCCCCAGGCTCCCCACGCTCTCTCTTGCCCTTTGTGCTTCCAAAAACAAGGGCTTTCTCTGTTCTCCCCGACTTTGGTATCCGCGACTAATGCTTTCTCAAGGCCCCTCCCCGGACTGCTGCCCTGAAGCCCTTTCTGCCCCCGCTGGGCCCACTGCCTAGGGGGCCCGGGCGGTGCTCCTATGTGGAAGTCCCCCAGCCCCAATCCATCCTCCTCCAGAAGTCTTCCTTCCGTGGCTCTCCTGCGCATGACCTGTAGGGTTTTGATGTCATCATGCCATTGGTGTGTCTTGCTCCCCCAAGCCCCAGAAGAAGAGCCCCCCGCCCTGGGGCCGTGATAGAGTCTTCTTCATCACAGTGACTCCTGTGCCCTGCGAAGGGCACATGCCCATCAGTGTTGAATGAACGAGCGAAAGAATTTTTAAATGAACATTAAGTAGAAGGGAGGAGAGTCTTTCGAGGTGCCAAGCACGTCTCGGTTCATAGCGGACGCTCTTCAGGCAGGAGCTAGAGCATGGCACGGAGCAGGCTGCCATCAGCGTAGGCAGGA